CCCCCCCCAAAAAAAAAAAAAATTCGCGGCCAGGGCACCGAAGGCGAAATTGATTCTCTGGCACGGGAGGGGCCTCTGGCGCTTTGGCTGCAGAGCACGGGGTGCTCAATGCCTGCTTGAATTCCTGCAGGAGTGGGGGAAATCAGTGGGGACGGCGAGGCTAGACCAGTGAGTGGGGTTGAGCAGGCTCTACGGATTTACGGGGAACTGCTAGTTCAGCTTCAAGGGATTTCGTGACGACTTCCGAGCATCACGGTCGCTTGTGCAGCTGGCATGCATTCCAGGGCTGTGGGTCCTGAGGGATGCCTGTGTCAACCCGCTTCATCTCAAACTTCATCGGGCAAGCTTGCCAGTTGAATCTTGGAAGCCTGCAACCTCGGTAAACACAGAGGATTAAGGGTTCAGGGCTCGGTAGACAGAGGTGGGAAGGCGAGAAGAACGACCAGGCCAAAGTCTCTTGAGATATCTTAACCACGCGAATAGCTGTTGGGTCGTTGGGAATTTTTGCCAGCACATCCATCCGAGCACGACATATGCCACTAGATCCCGGAATTGTCTAAAGCCCAGTTTACACCATATGTCCATCTCGAAGCCAGGGAACCGATGCCGTCAGGATCTCGTATCCATGTGGGACAGCTGAAGGTGTTGGTCGGCTCGCCATCGTGCGCTGCAAAGTGGATGCAGCGGCCTGACACCGCCCTCAACATGACGCATGGGCTGTATGCTTCAGGGTAAGGCAAAAAAGAGATAATAATATTCGCCTTGATGGTAACACAACAAATGGAATAACACGATAAGAACCTAACAGTAATAATACGAGTTCGATGGTTGCATCCATCAGAGTCAGTTAAAACCATAACAGTTGAAACATCCCAAAACAGACTTCCCGGACATCCCGCAGCTTCAGCAGAAGGCTTCGGGCTCTGATTCCCGAGAGCCAATCCAGGCCTGCATCTGTGCAGTACGGGTCATTGAGCAGCTTTGCCCTGAACCAGCAGCCTCTGTCCTCACGGGCTTCGGGTAGGTTTTAGGGTTTAGGGTTTTTTCTCTCCCGTTTTTTCCCTCCCACTTGGCTTAGGGTTTAGGGGGCTTCTGCCGTGGCTATATCCAAAGACTCTCTAAGAAGAGAGAGCCATCACCAGCCTCGTCGTGTACGTTGTTGCACTCGCCATGGTCGGTCTGCATGCAATAAGATGTGGTCATTGCAGTTTCGAGTCTCAAGCCTGACCAAGCGCCCCACACGACCAGGCCACCAAACTTGGACTTCCTGGCCCTTCAAAGAGTTGTCGTAGGCCCACCTCAACCATGTTGCATGGGCTTACGGGACATCCGATCAAAATGCAAGCCAGGGCCCTTGCTTTATGTCTTCCCTCTCTTTGCTCCACTTGCCTCCGTGGTCAAAGGAGTGGCACAAGTGCCCAAAAGTGCTGAAACCGCAGCACCCCGCCTGTCTGGTTGCCAAGCTTCAGGGAGTCCAAGTTGCACTCTGTCCTTTCCTCAAAAGCAGACGCAGAGACTCACGGCAGTCATTCAACACCTCGAGCACTTGCAAGGAATCCTTGTTGCCTGAGCTTCTACTCACGAGGCGAGTGTTGCATTGCAGCCAATGCTTGAGAAGCCGCGTCGTCGTCGGGAAGTCCGCTTTCCAGTTTCGACTCATCTATCTCCTCCTCTTCGTCCATCCCTGGCAATGCAGGGAAACGAGAATGGCCTGTCCCACTGCCATATGTTCGTTGCTGACAGCTGCTGCTGCTGCATGCCTTCTTCCTTCTCGAAGGAGGTGTTCACCTCATTGGGAGAGCAGCCGAGTTCTGTCAGCGAGTTCGGCATCACACAGACCTGGTGGTTTCTGAGGTTTCTGGAGGAGGCAGAGGAGCTGCAGCTTGCATCCTGCGGGAACAGGCAGCATCGCTAAATCGTCGTTACAAACACGGGGGCAAGGGCAGGAGACTGCCCGGAAGCGTGCCTGCGGCCAAGGACACGCCTCTGATTCCCAGACTGGGCGGGAAAGTGCAGCATCGCCTCAAAGCAGCGAGGGAAGCATGCGCGCGCAAATGCAGAAATCTCCCACGTCAGATTCTTGATGGACCCTAAAGCACGGCTGAGAAGCGGGCCACGGAGTGTCCTCGTCGCACCACCGCCGAGCACACCCTGTCAGATGTGCTAGCAGGGGGTTCATGCTTAAGGCAAGGCTGACAAAGATGGACGTACAAAACCCCTGTCAAGAACGCCTTATATATCACGCCAATATTTACGTAATTCTTGCATTTTCTCCTGCCCACTGCGACAAAAATGCCAGACCCGATAAGCCAAAAGCCTAAAAGCCTCACCCAGCCCTATCTAACCACTCTATCTGTCTATCGATCGATCTAGCTATTCGAGTCCAAAGTACTCTTTGCAAACCATCTACATCTAATCTCAGCCTGTCTAATCTCGTCTACTTATTCTGTCTAATCTGTCAGTCTATCTAGTCTAGTCGATCTAAATCAATCTAGACGTCCAATAAACCTTATCGAACCTAACCTAGCCTAACCTAGCTAATCTAATCGATCTACTGATCTATATGATGTCGTCTAGATCATACAAAAACACATGTTCACAGCTGTACGAGTTTACGTCTGCATTTTGGGATGCCTCCAGGAAGTGTTGCAAGCACGGCATGGCTTGGGCACTGCAGCCGGTAAGCTGGCAAAGGGGCTCAAGGGCGAAGACTCCGCACTCACCTTCTTCTTCGCTTCTCCGGGTTTGGGGTCTAGGGTGTGGGGATTCAAACCTGTCTGCGATTTAGGGTCGGTTTGCGGAAGGTTGGGTGGAGCACTGAGAGCAGCTGCAGAGCTTGGGGCGCTTAAGGCTGGCACTGGCCCTCAAGGCAGCATCCATCCACGCTCTGCCTATGAAGACGGGGGTCTGTCAGCTGGCTCATCCAGTTCTTTGTCAACTCTGGCTCAGAAAACCAATGCGAATCCATGGAAAGCATGTGATCTCTCATTTTGCTGGAGCCGCACAGAAATCGGTACAAGAGAGCCCACCTGTTCTGTCCTTCCGAGGAGTTGTGCCGGAGCCTACAAAACAAGGAGTCCACGCAAAAGCAAAGCAGCCTTGAGATCTGTTCTTTTAGCCCTGCTTCCGATCCCGAACAAGCGGCTCCCAAACTGAAGAACCTCGCAGGTAAAACCCTCTAAATCTCCATAGCATCCTACAATCCCGAAAAAACGAAACACGCAACTAAAAAGCACATCAACATAAACATACATATTAATACATGTGTGTATACCGATACGTATGTAAATCTAGAATCTACAAATATACACATACATAGACAGCCCCCACTTGTATCACGTCCCAAAGACTGCTTCTGGCCGTGCGCCAGTGAACGTAAGAAATGCGGGAAGCACGAGCTGCAACCGGCCTCGGCTTCTTACGGCAGATCACGGGGATGCCCAGCTGAAGGGTCTTACAGCTTTATGCTGCCACAACTCGGACTCACCAGGGGCCTCTGATTTAGGGCTTTAGGGAACTTTAGGGTCTTCGACAGTCACGCGTTCTGCACGACGACGATAGCGTTTGAACTTTAGGGCCTAAGGGTCTCGGGCTTTGGGGTGTTAGGGCTTGAGGCGGGTATTTTGGGGGGTTGGGGCGTTCATCATTGGAGTTTCATAGGCCCGACGCCTGCGAAACCCCAAAACTTAAGCCCCGTTTTGTTCAAGTCATTCTAAACCCTGAGGCCCTAAGCCACCGAGGCAGGGGCATGGGATCGGACGGGAGGCTGGCCCGGTCCTGGTGTACAAGTGGAACACGTGCTCGCAGCGTTGCCTTTTATTTTACTATCAGTCCTACTCCTACTCCTCCTACTACTACTACTACTACTGCTACTGCTACTCTAACTGCTTCTACTGCTACTACTGCTACTAGTGCTACTGCTGCTACTACTGCT